TAAGTTGTGCAAAAACCCCCACCGTAATAGACTTTCATGATGTTTCTCTTGGGTCTCTGCTCATCTCCCACCTTAATAACGTTGGGAAATCCAAGGTTCATTGCCCATCCTAGACTGCAAGACATTCTGTCATTGACTTTCAAATTTTACTTTGAGTCAGTGTTAACCGTGCAAATAAACTTCATTGTTCTTTGATTTCTTGAGAAACTTTCCAGAAGAGGAGTACGGCTTCCTTTCGAATGTTTAATCTGAAAAGAAGAGAAGTTCAGAAGCTTCTCCTCTAAACATCGCACAAAATGTAACACGGCCTGACAATGTTTGCGACATCACCAATGATTTCAATGGGTGTAAAGACCAAATGGTCCTTACATTCGGCAAAGAATCATTCAGAACTTACTGCAGAGGGCATAAGGTTAGCTGAATGGCAGTACTCTCCCTTAAATCTGAACGTTGCATGCTCAAAGACCAAACCACAAACTTGAGTATAAAATCCAGACTAATGCTCAAATATATTGCCAAGAGAGTGTCGTACTGTCAAGGTGCTGCTTCTCAGACGAGATGTTAAACCAAGGCTCTGTCTCCACTCTGAGGCAGATGTTAAAAATTGTATGTTGTCATTCAAACAAAAGCACAGTTTTCCTGGTATCTTGACTCTCAAAATCCACAGAAGTAGAAGTATTTCTGGGATCTGTGTATAAACTGGTTTCAGCATTTCCACACTGCAATAGTGTCAAAGATACTTAATAGTTGTAAAGCACTTTAAGAGATCCGGAGGTCTTGAAAGGTGCTACATAAATGCAAGTCCTTCTTTAGATTGCCAATGTGTTAGTTAATAGTTTATTTTCTAAATTACGAAGGTGTATATTAACTGAAGGGGTAACGACTTATTCATCTTCTTGGAGTTTCATTGTTGCAGGGCTATCAGTTTAACATTATCTCTAACAAATTCAGGAAAGGTGTTAGGGGAAACCTCTACACAGGATTTTTGGATCATGGAACACTTTATCATGAAATTGTTAAGACACAAATTATTGCATCTTTTTGAGGGATGTTTAGGTATGTATTTGAAGCAATGAAAGATACAGAGTTATGGGGAGAGAACTGAGTAGCAGAATTAGTTTTGCATTGCAAAAAGTTGGCATAGATGATACAGTAATTATGTACACGTGTGGCTATGTGTATGTATACTGCATATGGTCTGCACTTATGTAAATGCATGCCTATTAATAAGGAAGGAAAATTCAGAATGAGAAAAAGCTAGCTTGAAATATAAAAATAGATATTAAGAGTTTCTCAGATATATACTGAAAAAGTGAGCATCTGGAGAATTAATCATGGAAAATAAAGAGATAGCAGATAATTGAACAGGTATTCTACATTGGTCTTTAGTATAGTGGAAATAAGTAACACCAGAAATAGATGTACATCAGGAAATGGAAGATAGAAGGGGAATTCACAAAAAAATTACAATTACCAGGGAAGTTGTACTGAGCAAATTGCTGGATCTATGATCGGACAAGTCCACAGGTCTTAAAAGACTTCATCTTAAGGTCTTAAAGGAAATGGTTACTGAGATAATTGATGCAGTAGTCCAAAATTACCAAGGTCCAGGCAAGGTTCCATTAGATTGGAAAACAGTGAATATAATTCCTTTGTCGGAAAACTACAGACCAGCTAGCTTAACATCTGAGATAGGAAAGATGTTAGAGAAGCTATTATTAAAAATGTTACGACAAGGCACATAAAAAGGGTCAAGGTAATCAGACAGAGTGAACATGGTTTGTGAAAGGGAAATCATGTCTAATCAATTTATTGGAGCTCTTTGAAGGAGTAGCAAGTGCTGTGGATAAAGGGGGCCAGTGGATGTACCGTATTTAAATTTCCAGATAGTATTAGATAAGATGAAACATGAAAAGGTTATTACGGAAAATAAAAGCTCATACTTTAGGGAGTGGAATATTGGTATGGGCATAGGCATAAATGAGTCATTTTCTGGTTGTAACAAGTGTTACAGGGATCAATGCTGGGGTCTCAGTTTCTTTTTTACACTTGAGGTTAGATAGTGTATGTGTCACCAATGGAAGATGCCAAAGTGGCAGTGGACAACTACCTACACATACCAGGTTTAGCAATGTCAGTCTGCAGTGACAGAAATCTCTGGTGTGCCAATCATTTCTACATGTGATTAGGTGGAGAATTGGCAATTTTCATACCAGCTCTCAATGTGAGGAAAGCAAAGCTGCAACAAGCTTATCTTGTTTTAAGCAGATGTACCGCAAGAAGGTACACAACAGGCCGAGGCTGACTGAACCCATTATGATCCACTGAGCTGCGGTTGGGTTGGCACCATTGAACCGCCAATCTACTGGTCTGGTTTCAAACGCCATGTTTGCTCTTATTGCAAAACTTCAGATCCTATCAATTCTGTGTTTTTGCAGGGAAAGCCAAAGTTTGCTTCCATTCTGTGAATATAACGGCATTTATACGGAAGGTCACTGCTGCTCCACCAAGTGGCAGTGCATGCTCGGTACTCCATCTAGTGGCGGCATTGCCCAGATCAGCAGGTGTAAATGACTTGGACAAAGGCACTGAAGACAAGGATGCTAAACTTGATGACACAAAGGCAGGTAGTAAAGTAGGTTGTGACCATGAAGCTCACAGAATAAGAAGATTCACTGAAACTCAGATTGGAAGGAATCTCTTCTCTGGAGGATAGTGAATGTCTGGAATTCCCAATCTCGACAATTGTGGCAACTCGAGAATAACAAGGTGTAGAGCTGGATGAACACAGCAGGCTAAGCAGCATCAGAGGAGCAGGAAAGCTGATGTTTCGGGCCTAGACCCTTCTTCAGAAATGGGGGAGGGGAAGGGGGCTCTGAAATAAATAGGGAGAGAGTGGGAGGCGGATAGAAGATGGATAGAGGAGAAGATAGGTGGAGAGGAGACAGACAGGTCAAAGAGGCGGGGATATGGAGCCAGTAAAGGTGAGAGTAGGTGGGGAGTTAGGGAGGGGATAGGTCAGTCCAGGGGGGACTGACAGGTCAAGGGGGCGGGATGAGGTTAGTAGGTAGGAGATGGGGGTCGGGTTGAGGTGGGAGGAGGGGATAGGTGGGAGGAGGCACAGGTTAGGAGGCGGGGACGAGCTGGGCTGGTTTTGGGATGCGGTAGGGGGAGGGGAAATTTTGAAGCTTGTGAAATCCACATTGATACCATTGGGCTGCAGGGTTCCCAAGCGGAATATGAGTTGCTGTTCCTTCAACCGTCGGGTAGCATCATTGTGGCACTGCAGGAGGCCCAGGATGGACATATCGTCTGAGGAATGGGAGGCAGAGTTGAAATGGTTCGCGACTGGGAGGTGCAGTTGTTTAGTGCAAACCGAGCATAGGTGTTCTGCAAAGCGGTCCCCAAGCCTCCGCTTGGTTTCCCCGATGTAGAGGAGGCCACAACGGGAACAGCGGATGCAGTATATCACATTAGCACATGTGCATGTGAACATCTGCTTGATGTGGAAAGTCTTCTTGGGGCCTGGGATGGG